GAAGTCTGTCTAAAGTTTAGTTAGGCTAAAAGGATTGTCAAGGCTAACTCAGTTTATTTGATAAGAACTCTTTGCTTGTAACCCTGAAGTTCCTAATTATACAGACAATACTTTCATATTGAAAAGGCATATGGATGGTGTTTTGATCTTCAATATGTTTTCTTCTTGTGCTAGACTAGATAATGTAAAATGTAATCAAGTGATAATTAGTGATAATACAGATAATAGAGGATCACTTAATGTGAGGTTTTTTCATAATGAATTTTTTTAGTTCACTTCTATAGTGAGAGTTTGATGTATTAATTAATGAGGGTATTTCCTTTATCTTTCTAATTTTTTGAGACTTCTCAATTTTCATAAATTAAATTTTTTTTAGCACGTAGTTTAATTGCTTTCTAGTTATTGAAATAAAGAGCTTACTTTGATGTAAGAACTATTGAGTTTCCTTTTATTAACATACACAGATGGTTTTAACTAGGACCAAAAACCCTGAATTCTCTGAGCTTTTCAAACTCTGCTTCCCAAATCTGGTTTATACCACATTAGTTCTATCTATAGTCTTTGTCTTTGCCAAGACAATTAAATAGAATTTGCTCCAATTTTAACTGGCAAGAGACATTTTCAATGTGATCTCTTTAATTTTATTTAGTGTTCTTGCTTTAACATAGTTTTTTCTTTCTCTTCACTCCAAATTTTAATAAAAAATGTATTAGAATTTTGTTGGGGAAATACAATAAAAAATAAATTCTCCTGCCAACCCAGTGAATTGTTTCCATAAAATATAGAAGAGAATGCAAGTTTTATTATAAAATAATTAGACCAGATTGTGCTATACATCACAGGCAATGTGCTGAAGATCTCGCAAAGACAAAAAGAAAACATATTCTTTTTTAAAAGATTTATTTATACAAGCACTGGGTACAGTCAGAAGTGCGGGAGGGTGAGAGAATTCACCAGAGCCAGAGCGGGAGGCAGATCAGGCAGAAGGACCGAAGCACACTGCTGAGGGGAGCAGCGGGCGGCAGGAGAGGTCTGCGCGCCATGTGGGACCCTCCTCCAGTGGCCGAGGAGCAGCCGGGGATCGAACCGGCATCTCAGAGGCCGCGGGCAACTTCGCAATCCAGCGCTCAACCGCTGCGCCACCGGGGAGGCCCAACATATTCTTTTTATTTAGTCAGATAAATATAATACATTATGTGATAATTCTCTTTATACAAGGAAAATTTTTCTGTCTTTGTGATATGCTGGAAGTTAAAACCAGGAGTCTTGGCTAAGAGTCAGGGAGAAAAGCCCTCTTTCTTGGTGCTTGCATTTTGAGGCCCCCAAGACCTTCCTGTGATGCAAAACTGGCAAGAAGTTCATTTAATACTTTTTTGCTGTTCAGGATAATGGGTGTAGAAATGGAGGAGAAGGGAAGATTATAATTAACTTCACAAGAGTGATCCCTTTTGTAAATGGGAGAGCTCAATGCATTTTAAACTGAGGTGTTTAAAGAAATGCTAAACTCTCCATGCCTGAGATTTTGCCCAGTAAAAGTAGAGATGGCAAGAAATTTCATTAAAATGGTCAAATGTATTGCATAATACAACATGAATATCAATAAGGCTATGATATGTGTTCATAACTGATATAGAATCTGAACTTGTGACCAATACAAGAGATCCAGTATTTTCTAGGGGTCCCCATGTTTTCTCTTAGACTCTATGCAATCAAACCAGAGACAAAATAATAATAATAATAATAATAATAACACACACATACTATTTTTCCAGAGAAATTATTGGTATAATTTTGTGATTATGAGGTAAGTTGAAATAAGAAAGTCATCTGCGATTACCAAGTCTGTGTTACTCATTGTGAATGTAATAATAGTAAGGTTGATGCAGTGACTGGGGCTGTGTTCACTATTTGCTGAATATCTTGCTCATGCTGCCTGCCTCCCCCAGCTCACAAGGTCCCTATTGAAATTCTTGAACTTTTAAGATCTTTGTTTCTCTTACATGTTCTTTTTAGTTTTCTTGGGGAAACTGAAAAATACTTATAGGACCTTATTAGACTAAAAATCTGCTTAAAGGTTTTTCTCAATATTAAAAGATAGACTTTCGGTTCCACTGCAAACTATTATCCCTATGCCTTTTGTTTTCCTCAGGCTTTTTACTTTTAAGTTCTTTTTATTGAACTATAATAATTGACATACTAGTTTCAGGTGTATGCATAGTGATTCAGTATTTGTTTATATTGTGAAATGATCAAATAATTTTGTTAACAGCTGTCACCACACATAGTTACAATTATTTTTTCTTGTGTTGAGAACTTTTAAGACCTACTCTCTTAGCAACTGTCAAAAATGTTAACTGAAAATAAAGTCTCAGTGATGGTTAGCGTTTTGGATAACAATGTGAGGATTCAAACCAAGGAAGTAGTTAAACAGATTTTTACTCTGAGAGCTCTTCCAATAAATACATAAATTTGGACTTTATTTGTATCAGCAGGACACTAAATCATTGACATAAAGAATGTAATTTTTCTTGTTGGAGGGACCTCCAAGTTGTTCTGACCTAAAGATATGCTGATGCTAGAGGTAAACAATGCAGGATTTAATCTCTTTCTTTCTAAAGAATGTATTGCTGAGACTAGATACCCATTGTTTAGTTTTCTTAGTCTGGGCCTCCCCGGTGATGCAGCGGTTGAGCGCTGGGTTGCGAAGCTGCCCACAGCCTCTTCAGCACCAGTTCGATCCCCAGCTGCTCCCCGGCCACCGGAGGAGGGTGCGCGCAGACCTCTCCTGCAGCCCGCTGCACCCCTCAGCAGTGTACTTCGGTCCTTCTGCCTGCTCTGCTCCCCGCTCTGGCTCTGGTGAATTCTCTCACCCTCCCGCGCTTCTGACTGTACCCAGTGCATGTATAAATAAGTAAGTAAATCTTTAAAAAAAAAATAATTTTCCTGGTCTGGCTCCTTCGTCATCAGTGGTTTGAAAAGAATAACTTCACCTTTAGGCAGCAGACTTGCTGTATAAGCGATGGGAGGAAATCTGTTTAGACTTTAAATCTATGAAGATGACTTTGATCTCTTTTCTGCTACACCGGAAGGGTGGTATCCAGAAAATTTTTTATGTTCACAATACAATACAGTATTCTAACTATAGTCTCCAATGCTGTACATTATATCCCCAGGACTTAACTGAAGTAACTTTTGATTCCCTCCACTCATCTCAGCCATACTTCCCATTACCTCCTCCCATTGTGTAAATGGCAAGGCTTCCTTCTTTTTATGGCTGAATAATATTCCACTGTGTAAATAGTCTACACTTTATTCATTCATTGATGGACATTTAAGTTGCATCTTCATTTAGGTTTTAAAAATGTTTAGATACATCTCAAAGAGATAGGTATGTAATTTGTAATTTCAATTCTTATGGAAATGCTAAAGACAAGAGAGGCCTGGGAAAGTTCTCTTTTAATTTTCACAACAGGAAAAATTAAAAAAAATATTTAGGCTTTTTTCCTTATCTATGCAACATTCTTTTAAACTATTTTCTCAAACATTAAACTTTTTTAAGTAAAAGTAAGGTAATATGTTTAACTATATTTTAACAGGTGCTACCAGTAAATTTCCAAAACAATTACTTTCTCACCTAAAGGTATTCTTTGTGAATTAGGAGACTATCTTTACACTTCACCAGAAATTATTTTTGAAACCTCACAGTATCTGTGCCTATAAATACAATTAAAGGAATTAGATGCATGTCTGGATTCTTCTAGTGACTTTAAATGAATGAAATTTAATAAGTAATTGTGAGAACTTTTATTTGCCATAAAAGTTTTTACTTTAGCTATACGCAAATCACAAAGCTAATTTTTCAAAGCTTCACTTTTATTTATGAAATCGGAAAATTCTAATGGACATATTCCTTTCAGACAGAATGTTTATAGTTCTTAAGTCCTTTCATTCAAAAATTATTTATTTGCTGTCTACTGTATATAAATTACTATTCTGGGCCTGCCTGGAGAGTTAATGAATAAAAGTGCTAGATGTTTAAAGGTGCTAGTTTTTACCATGATTGATCTTAGAATGGTCAAGGAGTCAGGAAGAAAACAATATTTGCATTTATATAATGTATTAGAAAGAAATATGCATTCCTTAAGAAAAAATGTTAATGGATATTCATGTATTTCCATATTTTAAGATAACTCTGTTTGCAACTTTTCCACATATATCCCTCTGAAGTGATCATTTGCAATGTTTCTGAGGAATAGATTTGAATTTAAGGTGCAACAGGAGAGCTGGAACAAGTAAATTATCTATAAAATGAGTTAGCTGCCTGCACAAAGCAGGCAGCTGTAATTTTCTACTTATTGTTAAGTATGGATGTAATAAATCGTATGATGTTGTTTGGTTTTGAATTTTGGGGTAAATTTATATCTATTGTTTATACCTTTAAGAGAGTTTTACAAACTTGCATATCATTTTGTAAGCTGAGATTTAAAAATTTTTTTTTGTGATCTATTGCTTTTTTTTCATTTAGCATCTTTGCAAAGCTTTTTAAAAATTTTAAATACTGGGAATATAGGAATACGAATATTCATTGAATTTTTTTTTGAGGTTGTTGATGGGTCAAAGCTGCAAAAGTTTTAAGAGTGAGCAAACTAAGAAATAGTTTGCCCCAATGGTGTTGGTGGTAGGAATTGGGGTAAAGAATTCCAAAGGAGGTGATTTGACAGAAGGAACAGGAATTTTCATTGACTTTTATCAACACTCTGCCCAAAGAGAGATTATCCACTTACAAATAAAAGAAGTGGAATTTCTGGTTATTCTTTTGTTTCTTCTTTTTAATGCAGTAGATCATTTTTGATATAGACAAAATATTTAGGATCTTAATCATTCTGAGAAAAAAGAGCTACATAATTTTATTTAAAATGGTTTTATTCACTCCCATGAGTTATTAAAGTTTATACAAGAAACAGAATGGTTGAATTATTGAAATATTACTTGTTACTTACTCTTGGGCTTCAGACTCTTCAGTTATTCTTTACTGCTTTTACAACAAAATCCAAAGTCCAATGTGAAAAGAAAGGTCTTCCCAGGATAGGCCTTAACAACTTCTCTAGAAGGTTTCTCCTCTTACCCTACATGAATGCTGAACTTCTTGTAGTTCTCTGTGCCACACTCTTTCAGGCCACTGAGACTTTGCTTATTCTTTTTAAAAAATATTTTTTGCGTTAGTATTGGTTTACATCATTGCGACCCCTTCGGGCATTGTTGCCATAGAAAACCCACCGTCACAGTCATAGAAAGAACCCATAGTCACCACTCTTGACCCCTGGGCTTCCCCTCTTTGTTTTTGTCTCTCTCCTTCTCCCTCCCATCTGGTTGTGCCTGTTCCGAAGTTAGCTTTCAAGGGATTTTTTAGTTTGGCTTTATCTAACGCTTTGTTTTGTTTTGTTTCTGTATTCCACATATAAGTGACATCATCTGGTATTTGTTTTTTTCCCATTTGACTGATGTACTTATGCTTTTGCCATCCTGCCCCCCCCCCAGAGGGTAAGTCAAAAAGGGTTTCATTCAAAAAATTGTTTAAATAATTGATTCTTAAATGTTTGTATACAAGTATGCTCTAGATTCTTCTTTTAATCTAGTTTGCTCAACTATAGATTCCTAGGCCTCCTGAGAATTTCAGATTCAGCAGATCTGGAAGGTGAACCTAGGAATCTGCACTTTATTTTATCTAATCCACCAAAGCTCCAATGCCAATACCCTATTCCCTTTCAATTACACCTCATCCCCAACTTGGCTCCCCCACTCCAAAGTCACTATATTTTTTAGACTTTAAAAGGTTTTTTGGTTTGTTTTTGCCAGTTGGTTTCTTTGTTTCTTTGTTTTCCACAAATGGATGAAGCCATCAGGTTATTGTCTTTCACTTTCTAACTTATTTCATTTAGCATAATTATGTCAAGACCCATCCACTTTGCCCCCAAGGCATAATTTCATTTTAAAAATAGTTGAGAAGTGTTCCATTGAGTATATATGCACCACAATTTCTTTATCCATTCATCCATCAGTGGGCCTTTACGTTGATTCCAGGTCTTTGCTATGATGCACAATGCTGCTATGAGCAGGGAGGTACATAGATCTTTTTTTTAGTGTTTCTGTATCTGGTAGATAAATACCTAGGAGTGGTATTGCTGGGTCATATGGTATTTTCACTTTTAGTTCTTTAAAGAACTTTCATACCATTTCAGGATCCTGCTTTTTAACAAATATTTCAGAGGATTTGATGCAGGTGATTCATGATCATACTTGAGAATCCCTTCTTAATGTGATGAGTAGCTCTTAGCTAAACAGGAAAGAGTTTGGATAATTCAATTAGATGGCATTCTAGACACAGGAACACCTTGAGCAAAGGCAGCAAGTCAGTGAGGCAGATCTCACATGACTTATAAGAATTGGTTGTTAAAATTTCAGGCATTTTGTGAACTGTTCATGAAACACAGCCATTATGAACTTGCAATTGACACAATTTATGAAAAGTGAAAGTAATAAGCATTATTTCATTATATTTTTACTATTATCTGTGTTCTTAAGCATATCCATGTTTTTAAGATTATGTCATGGGTCCTAAAGAGTTTATTAAAGAATTTTAATTAAACTGAAACAAGAAATTATTAAAAAAAAAACCATGATGGTGTAAAAGAGAATTGGTAGGGGAATTTGATATTTTCCAACTACTTCATTAGCCAACCAGAGGTGATTATAAAACCTTACCAATTTAATAAGTTATTTTACTGTTTTTAATTTCAGCTTTTTAATGTTAATAAAAATGAAATAAAAAATGAAATCTCTCTGTTTTTGTTGTTTTATTGTTTAAATCAGTCTTATATAGACTTAGTAACGTGTCAAAAATTTCACATTATGATAACTTAGAATGAATTATACAATATTAACGTATGTTGGGTTCACATTATATTCTCACTGTATGTTCTGTTTGTAGAATGGATTAATATCATAAATCAGCATCTACTGTATATCATTTTCCTACCGCCTGGACTATTTATACTACATCATTGCATAAGAATGAAAAAGAGTTGGTTGTATCTAGTGGGATACAAGCAGGATTATGCTTCTGAAATTAAACTGGAAATGGTAAAATATGGGGCTAGGAAACAAGTATTGGCCTTCTAGAGTGTTTTATGACCGAGCTTTGCGAAACATGTACTTTATTCTAGTGAAGATGGGAAAACCATTGTGGCAATTTAGGCCACAGAGTGCTATGGTCATTTAATTTTAGGAAGTGGCTCTGGGGAGGCTGATTTTGAAGCTGTTAAAACTAAAGAGCAGAGGACAATTTAAAAGATTATATTCCATCTAGCTCCATCCACGTTGCTGTGAATGGCATGAGTTTCTCTTTTCTGATTGCTGAATAATATTCCATTGGGTTTATATGCCACATCTTCTTGATCCAGTCATCTATTTTTGAGCATTTGGGTTGTTTCCAGGTTTTACCTATTGTAAATAGTGCTGCAATAAACATAGGGGTGCAGGTGTTCTTTTGAATCAATGTTTTTGTGTCCTTAGGGTAGATCCCTAGTAGTAGAATTCTGGGTCATATGAATTATGTGCAGTGAAATAAGCCAGAGGAAAAAGAAAAATATTGGGTGGTTTCACTAATAACAGGAATATAGGAGAACCAAATAAGACATCAGTGTAAAAAAATAATAACAGTACAAAACACAACAAAGCAAAAACAGACAATTATAAATCAGAGACATACTGCAGGGGAGGAGGAGGGAGAAGGATCATAGGGAGGTAGGGAGGAGCACAGGGGACTGTGGTGATGGTGCACAGGTGCCTTGGGGAAGGAAATTCTATGGGGACTCAATCTGAGGGGGTAGGGGAAAGCAAATATTGTTTAAAAACTAAATAAAAATAGTATTATAAAAACAAAAGATCATATTCCATATGAAAGATGATAATTTGGACTACAGTATTTCAAGAATAGATGGAAAAGAGTGGATTAATTGGGGAGATATTTAGAAAGTTAACAGTGACTGTAAAGAATATGCGAGAGAGGAGAGAGAGACATGTATTTCCCACCTGTGTGACTGAGTGAAAGGCACTGCACGTCAATAAAATATAGACTAGAAGGAGCAATTTTAAATGAGGAAAACAAGGCCTCCCCTGGTGGCGCAGGAGGTTGAGTGTAGCACTGTGAAGCTGTCTGCAGCCTCTGCAGCATGGGTTCGATCCCAGCTGGCCAGTAAGAATCCCACATGGCGTGACAGACCTCTCCTGTCACGCACACTGCTCCCCTCAGCAGTGTATTTCATCAGTCTGCCTGTTCTGTTCCCCACTCTGTCTCTGGTGAATCCTCTCACCCTCCTGCGCATCTGGCCTGTACCCCAGTTCTTGTATAAATAAATAAATCTCAAAAAAAATGAGGAAAACAATATGTACACTAGAATTTGCTGTTGTACATATGCATCCTTAGTATAATGCTTCCCCAAATTTTTCATGTTGTGACACCCACAGAGAATGTAGCATTTAAGATAAATGAACGAGTCTCGAGGTTAGAAATAATCAACTTTTGTAATTCTAGTTCTCTCAAATTCTGCTCTGCTTGCCTCAAAACTTGAGGAGATCGACATGGAGCACTCCATTTGGAAAAGTTCCGTGCTATACTCACTATCCTCTTTGTTCTCTAAAGTCTTAACAGAAGTTAGGGAAGAGGGATGGGGCATGAGTGTGCATGTGTGTGTGTATTTATATATAAAATGCATGTTGTAAAATGATGACAGAGCTCAGTGAAGTAACACATTTGATGATGACTTGACATATTGGAAGGTGGAAGAGTTGAGAATAAGATGCATCCTAATTAAGACTTCGGATTTTCTCACGAAATTAGAGAAGTAGCGGTTGCTCTCATTTCGGGTTGTATGATTACTGCTGTAGCCTGATGTTTCTCTATTATCACTGAAAAGAAGGAAAGGAAACAGGGCAAATGAGAATTGAGTTCCCTCAAGCTAATTGGGAGTGTAAAACAAGCAAGTAATGTCTTTTTTTTAAAAAAAGATAAACTTAATTGGCAATTATAGGAAAAAGCAAATTGAATATTTTTAGTATAAATTGAGAGAGAAAACTGACCAAGTTCTGGCCTATAGCCAGAAGGCTTTTAACAGTAAGAAAACTGTTCTTGTTTTTTACATTCAGGAGAAATGTTATTTTTATTTATCATAATATACCACAACATATGATTTTATTTTCTTTCTCAGACACATATCTAAGTAAATCTATGGTTGTTATCATAATTTATATAATAAAAATAAGGAGGTAGCAGCTCTAAAATATTATTCTAAACTTATAGCAATGATGGGATAAATTATGATAAAATCAGAGCTGTCCTCAAAAATCCATGTTGTATAGGTACACTACCTGTGTGACTGTATGTTGAGTATTTTACCTGTAAATCAAAAACCATTTTACCCTTAGGAGCTCACAGTCAGAAAGCAGAGTCCAGGGGAGAAGACAAGCACATAAGCAGGGTGGTTGTAGGTACAGATATGATGGGCACAGATACTAAAGGAGACATAGTTCACTGAATGCAAAGGGGAGGGAGATGGGAGGGCCTGGGAAGGAGTGTGACAGGGAATTGTCTTCCAACACATGAGGGCATCAGAGAATATGGCTACTGTGGAATTTCAAGTGGTGCAATATTATCAGGTTTTATAACATGATCAGAGATGAGGCTGGGTAAGCAAACAAAGATAACAGAAAGTCATGAAGAATTGTTTACAAATTTAATTTTTACCTGAAAGCAATTGGGAACTCTGGATATATTTTGTAAGGGGAATAACATGAATAGCTTTGAGTTTTAGAAAGATTACCCTGGGAACAGCAGAGACAGAGAGGAGGGAGTTGGCAGAGGAAGCAGGGAGGGAGACCAGTTGAGAGATTGTAAATATTATGAATCTGAATTAGAGCATTGACAGTGTGGATATTGAAAAAAGGAACATGTTCAGAACCTA